CTCTGAATGATACGCAAATGCCTCCTGTATGCTTATTTCCCTCACAATTCCCAGGTTCACAAGTCCTCCCTGGTCGACGGTGACTTTGACCTAATTTCAGGGCTTTCGTGCCGTTACCTCTCGCATCTGCGTTCTCCGTGCTCCAACGTTCGACCTTGAGGCGCTTCGGCGTTGACGGAAACTCGGCCATGGCCGCTGCCTTCGGCCTCCGCGGAGCCGATCGTGGCCCCCCGGTCGCCGGTGACTTCTCGCTGCCCTCTTGCGCCGTCTTCCGGCCTCGTCTGCTTCGCCCCCCCCCCCGGGATGAGTAAATCGCGCGGAGGCGTAGCCCTCGCTCACACTGCCCCAAATTTCGCCGCTGACTGAAATGTGCTTTATCTCAGCACGAACTATTTCCGTACTGTGCTGTCCTCACCTCCACAATAAATTAAAGAATGTAGATTAACTCCTTGCGTTATATTTGAAGAAAACTTACCTCCAAAAAATTCTAACAAAAGTTCGCGGACAGCTATCTAGGTGTCTGTCCGACGTCCAATACTCCTACTGCTGTCTACTCCTCCTACTACCTACTGACTCGGCGAAGTTGTTGCTGGAACGGCGGTCAAGAAATGAAAAGAGTGCTGCTGGCCCGGCGATCGGGAACGAAAGAGTGACTGATCGTCGGCTCGCCCTCCGTGTAGGGGTAGTGCGCGTCATCTCCCTGTCCGACTGCTTCCATCGCATTTACCTGCGTCGCCCCGCGAACATAGCGCGCAACAGTGTCGCAGGTTACAGGCGCGTCCTTTTCAAATCGCACCGCGCTCGCTCACCCTCTACTACAGGCATTTTCTTGATGCGTGGGCGCGTGGGACTAATGTAGGCTGCCGCGTTCTTCACAAGCTTTTCCTCCTATTCTATTCTCTCTCTCTCTCTCTCTCTCTCTCTCTCTCTCTCTCTCTCTCTCTCATATATATATATATATATATATATATATATATATATATATCCTTTGCTTGTACCACAATTTCAAAATGCTGTTGCATATGTGCAAACCACGCATTGTAAAATTGCTTTGACGAAGAATTTACTTAAAAAAAAGCATTTGTTATTCTTGTAAGTTTTCATGTCATCTGCTTTACACTAGACACATTAAAATAATTAGTTAAACCATGTTCTTACTACTACATATATCTATAGAAACTCTATGCTTGTATTGAAATAACAGCAGTTGCCTTTATACACATATAATCTCATATTGACAATCGGGATTTACCCGATATTTTTATAATGTGAACAATCAATTAGAGATTTGATTCCAAGACTATGGAAATTTACAATTCTTTGAATTTATATCAAATGATATTGGCAAGTATAATACATACAAGAAGTAGTTTCCTCTGAAAGATTTTCTAGCTTGCTTCTAGCTTATGAGGATAATTTTGATGAAGTAAGATTACGCAATGAACTTACTGTATTTTATAGCATCGAAGAGTTTCAAGAGAAAAGTCGATATGAACTGTTGAATTACGTGAATTCCATGTCACTATTCACATGCTTTCTACATCGTTCTGCGCGATTTATTTTATTCCTGTAATGATAGCATCGGTAGTGACATCGTTTTCAACTCTAAAAAGAATAAAAAGCTATGCTCAAAACATATAAGTGAAAATAAATTATCGAATTTAGCCTTACTATCTATTGAGTCATTCCACCCCATAGCACACTCGCAAAACATCACTATTTTAGAGCGACTTGAAACTTTTTTATGAGGTCTATGGTTGAAAAGAGGTGACATGTATTTTTTTCTTTTTTTCTAATCCCATCCTTTCCATAAATATTACTAATTATTTTTTCCGAAAAATCATGTGCAAGTTAATGTTTAATTTTTTGCGCTAATACCGTTTCCTTCAGAAAAATAAAACTACACTTCAATTTAACTTACAAACATGTACTTTAATATGTCGTGAAAATAAATTGTGTACACATATTATTTAAATATTTAAAATAGATTTTAATTTTTAAAATGCAAATTTTTAGAATAGATCGACACTTAAATGAATTGCAAAAATCTATATCTCTACACTAATGTTGTATAGATCTGCAAAATTTCAAAGTAGGACACACATAAATAACATTTAAAAAATGGTTTGTTCACCGGAGCACGTAGGCAGCCCGCTGCTCGAACTACGGGGCGTCAAAGACACGACGAATCGTGACCTCCAACATGAAGCATCTGTGAGACTAATGTCGTGTTACAAATGACAGAAACACACATACGGTCTCAAACGCGACAATTAAGTTTATTTATAAACTGCTAGGCTCTACCTGAAACAAGCAGCCTTCTTCCTCAGATATACTGAGCGAGCAAACGGAGGAATCCGGGAAACGCGCGTTGTTCGTAAGTTAGTAACCACAGAGAGTCTTACAACAATATCAAAACTATTGTTATTTGCATTTTCTTCATATGAAAATCTATAATTGCCTAATAATTTATGTTTAGGTTATTACAACCAGCATTCTTGAGAAGTTGAAAATTGACTGCGTTGCGTCAAAAAAGCTTTGTATTAAAAAAAAACTGGATTTCAAAATTTTTTCTCGGGACAAGTAGTGAGGTTTTTACAAGCAAGTTAAAATCGACCATACTTGTTAATGTCGCAAATATGTTGGGCAGTGACAATGATGAATAAACGAGCACCGCAGGTCCTGGACACCCTAACGTATCTCCTAATACAAGTAATTAGGAAACTGACAGAGTATGTTCATTTTTTGTTTCTTCTGCTGCCTTCGCCTATCGTCTGCCGTCTATCGTCTGCCTCTCTTCATGAGGCAAAAATAAAATTTGACGCTACGAGTTTTCACTGTCCAGGGTGATTTTTTAAGAACATTTTTCTTTCTCGCTTGTAGATGTTAATCAGAGACTGCTGTGAATTGATTTCTTAGCTACTCTGCATCCCTTTGTACTATATATCAGAGAAAGCAAAGAAAAAAAATCTGGATGCCTCAAACACGGCACAAATTCAAATCACCCTATTCAGTGAAAGCTCATAACACTTCTTAGTAAAATTATGACCGTATCAACAATCATATTTTTTCGAATGGGGTCAGTGCCTAGTATTACAAAAAATGCGAGTTTATCCACAAATCCACAAAGATGCCGTAAATGTGAGTGCTCAATGGCATTTCTTTTCTTCGCAACGTCCTATGAAAAAGAGCCATGCGACGTAGGGAGAGAGAGGGCAAGTATACTTTTCTCGATAAGCCTTCAATTGTGGCAGAAACTTATTAATTCTCAGGACGTTATGTAAGTGGGCTGATGATAATGAGAAGAACTTTATATTTTTAGCAACGCTGAACAATACTTAGAAAGAGGACTATTGCAACAATGATGTAATAAGAAACAGAAGGCACAAAGAAAATACATAGTTTCATTTCTTAATGAAAGGGTGAATAAACAACATTCCCTGTAAAGTGAAATAAAAGACATATCATCGTAATTAACTGTATCACGTACTCTTATTCGTATATATATTCCGTCCGTTTAATACTAAATGGAATCCGTTTGACACTTTTTAATTTGAATTTAAACGACCATGAAGATCATATGTAGGTATATGGCACATATTAAGATGTAAAGGGACACATCTATCTATTGCTCTGTGAAAGTTTAGTGATGGTAACCGTCTACTACTGATTTGCACGTGCTTGAGAGGTTGATGCAGACGCTGCAGCAAAATAGCAAGTAGTCATTTTTATTGTATTTAATTTCTAAGAATAATCTCAATGCCCTACTTTGTCACATACCAAACTTATGTAGGACTTTTCATACATTTCAATGGTATTTTTTTTTTAATTTTTAACTTTCGAGGTTTGGGAAATTTTTTTAATATAAAAATAAAAAAGGTCAAAAATTATTTTCAAAAACATTAATGAATTTAATATATACCTAAAATGAAAAAGCATCTTTTGTTCTTTATAGAAGCAAAATATTTAATTTCTGTCAATTACAATGCGAGTTGAAAATGATTATCTTTAACAAAGCGAGCACTTTTCGAAAGTTTTGAAAATTAATATAATCTCGTCAAATAATATTTGGGAAAAAATGAAAAACATGTGTTTAATAATTTTTGCTAACACTTCACATAAAAAAAAATTTAAAGTCTGGGACATAAAGGTCAACTTTTCCTTACATTTGAAATGGAATGACCCTATTGAATCATCACTGCTGGAGAACATAAGACACACACACATTCATTTTTCGAAAAACTGTGCAGAATTTTGCAAGTTGTGAAAGAAGAATGGATTTTACATTCCGTTGATTGCAGCAGCCTTTGCAGGAAGCAGACTTCATTTTCTTGTTCTGTAAGTTACAATTGACTTTTTATTTCAGGAAAATATAGTGTGTGTGAGTGATGTATTGCATGATGTAATTTTGTATTTTCTAAATATTGTTTCACGGTTGTGTTAAAGAATCTTCTGTTGCGTTAGTACACTGCGATTTTTGCAACTCTGCCCCAGGCAGGTCTCAGCTGTTGTTTCATCCAATCGGGAGCCTAACGTCACCATAGTGAGATCACTCAAGCTCCCGATTGGATGAAACTCCCAAAAGCAGTTATCTGCCAGGAGCAGAGTTACATAAATCGCAGTAAACACTTTGTATGGGGGGATCTGGTTATCCTCATGGTGGAAATATCCCGTCTTATTTTAGTAATTATTTCCACCATGGTTGGCCGCTAGCAGCTGGGGGATACAAAGTATTCACCGCACGCCCCAGTTTAATCGTCATCCTGACCAGACTATTCGAACATTCTTCGCAAAACTGACATTAAGATTCATCGTATTTTCTTAGCACTACTTCGAAACAACATTCCAATAAATGTTAGTGAAAAAAAGAAGAAACCGCCGCGCGGTTAGATCATGTTAACATGTTTTCAAGAATATTCTTGTAAACAATTTTTAAGCATTAAAAAATGTCATATGCTAATAGCAGCCAATACATAACTGACCAACTGAAAATGTACTTTTAAGTTTATTAAATTTCTGTTCAAAGAATAGTTCTCTTTTAGTTATTTTCTTTCTGTCATGGTGGAAATAACACGATGCTCTGTATACCAAAGTCGTCATGGCATGTTCGTACCATCCACGGATTGGATTCGTAGGATTTATCGTTCGTTTTGTTCATCTGCCAACTGGAAGGGTTGGAGGGATCGTGGCAACTTCCCCTGTGGGAAAGGAACAGAAGAGCGCCTGGTGCACTGCAGATGAATTGCCACGAGAAACACATGTCAAGGCAAGATAGTGTTTACTTGGCGTATTCTAACAAGAGGATGGTGACGTGTTTATTTTTGGTAGCATATGTGGTATCTCTGTCTCTTTTCACCACTACGAGGGAGTGGCAAGCCAACGAACCCGATTAAAGGACATCGGGACATGTTTACATCGACGAGGTGGGTGCTTGAGAAAACGAGGCCTGTTTTCGAGGAAATCTGTGCTAGACGTATGTAAAAGAAAATAACATGTGAAATTATGTTAAACTATTATATTATCGTCGTATTATTGACTGCGTATGTTCCAGAAATGTCAACGAAACCTAAAGATAATGAACTTACGAGTATTACTAGTATCCATGCTGGATTAATTGACGAAGTACATGACATTCCAATGTCTGTTTTAATTCGTCCGTTTCCACCCGAAGTGAATGAAGATAAAGTGAAAAGTTTAATGGAAACATTGCGGGTAATTATCGAAGGTGTCTTGTTTACTTTCTAATAATCATTTGTTGACCAATGTTTTTTTTTTTGTTTCATTTTATTTCATGTGAAGGAATATGAAACTAACATATATATTAATGATTTAGGATCCTGAAAAATATTTTGATGTACCACCAATTGATGTGTTGTGGATTAAAGGAAGAGAAAATGGTAATTACTACTATTCCTTTGGTGGCTGCCATCGATATGTTGCACATCAGAGGCTTGGCAGACAAACAATAAGAGCGAAACTTGTCTCTTCAACTGTTAATGATCTTAAAACTTACCTGGGAGCATCTACACCTGATCTCAAGTAATTCATCTGCAGCTGATGAAGGAATCATTTTTATTCAATAAAATAAACAATTGTATACATTTTTATTTTTTATGGTGAATTTTCAAATATTTTATTTTTATACATATGTAAAGGTGACTGGTTGAATCTTGTACTCAGGATTTTAATATTAAACCAAAATGTAAAAACTTTTCATTGTTATGTTTTAAAACTGTGGTTGTATTAAAAAACAAACCGTATGACCAACATAAAATTATTCCACTTTTGGGTTTTGTCAATTACGAACACCAGTTGATTCAGTTGTACAATGCATCAAGTATATGAAAGTGATTTTTAAACATGAAATTCTATTGACCACTTTTATTGGCTGGTAAGTGAAAGATTGTTAATTGAGCAAAGAATATAATTCGTAGAAATCATATTCTGACCAGTGTGTATACGATTCTGAACCACAACGATTGATAAATTTTCACTGATATTTGCAAAATTTCTTGTGTAACATGTACTTTAAATCAATTCATCATTACTATTCCTTCATTTTTTTTTCTTCCATCATTTAATTCCTGTAAGTTCCTCTACCATTTGAACTAAAATGTTCAATTTATGGAGGTTCAAGATACTGATAAATTTGCCAATAGGAACATTGGAGAAATGAAACCAGGACCCAAAAGCAGTACACTTTTGTTATTTAATTGTGAATAGAGAAAAAAAACAAAACAAAAAACCTTTCATTGGAAATCTGGATATATTTTGATGTTGAAAATATGTACATAGGGTAAAGCATATCTGTAAATCCAGTTTAAATTACAAAATCTGAGTTAAAAAACTCATTACACTGACCCAAAATAAAATTGCAAGTTTTTCAAAACTTATTGCTCATACCCTTCTAGGACAGTTATCAGACTTACCCCAAACCTTAATAATAAACTCAGTCTACTTTGTGCTACAAAAATGCACTGAAAACATTAATACAACTACACCTTCCAAAAAAAAATTGTAAGAAATTTATTTTACAGTACAAATTTATAAACAAATACAAACAAAACTTATGACAGTAATATGATAAAATCAAAAATACTATCAAGTAAATGCAATACTTCATTCTGCATGGAAATAAATTAGTAAATTACATTTTGCAATTACTACATTGCAGTTGCTACAAATGGAATTGCTACATTGCAAAATAATATATTATCTTTGACTAAAGCGAAACTAAAAATCCAATAACTCAGTTTTTCTTGAATCCATAGGTTAAAACTTAATTTAATTTGTACACAATTAAAGCACATCTGTAACATAAAATAAACTCCAGAGAAAATACAACAAGAAAAACAATGAACAGATACAATTATTTTCAGTAACTGCAAATTCAAATCTGGAGCAAATATCCAGAATGATAAAGTTTTTGTAGGGTATAAAATAGTCAATAAAATTTATTTTCTGAAGAAAGAAAAAAATAAAAAATGCACTAGCTTACAGTGCAAATATACCTGTAATTTATTTTAAAATCTTTTGTTTCTTAGCATATATTATTTCTTAAAAGTTAAGCCGAGGATTAAAATACCATCACATTTACTGATGCAGTAACATAAGTTGTGGTATTTTCCCCTCATTTGATTTGTAATACCTGCCTAGGGCAGAGTTAATAGTTTTAAGGAAATATCTCAACATAACCGTAATATTCTAATTTGAACACGTTTCTGGCACTAATATTTACATTTTGTTTCATTCGACATACAAAGACACCAACAAGTTTGTTTCATTTTGTGCTTTCAAGGACATTAAAACAGGATTAGAATAACAATTTAACAAAATTCACTTCTTTTTTAACAAGTACAACTGTTATGCTAATGAAGAAAGAAGAAATAAAAATAAACTTATTACATAGTATTTATCCCTAGTTACATACAGCATAATCTTCAGTCAGTGAAAATGTATACTATAAAATATATTTCTAAGTTACGGGATTAAGGGATGAAGTTCATACAATCAAGGAACACTGCTATTAGTAACTTTTGAATCAAATTTCTTCTTAGCACGTCTAAACATTGTTTTTATGTTATATTCTGGTCGATAAGCAGGCAATTTTGTGGCTGCAGAATCACCATAGCCAACACCATTTGGAAGTTTATTATAACTAGTCTTCACAAAGTATGGTTCATAAGTTTGTTGTGATGGAGCTGATGGTTTTGACCCTGTTTTTTCTCTGTGGAAAGAACTGTTGGTACCTGCTGGAAGCAAGAATTTAATCTAGTGAAACGAAATAATGTTTAATACGCAGTGAAATAGTTGACAAAACAATCACATTATGATTAAGGTGTCTTGAAATTTACTTGAGTAAACATTGCATCTTGATGGGATTCATATAAAAAAGATATTTGAGAAGAATAATTTTAAGAATTATTACATTTTTCATGAAAATTAAGGAACATGGTACTGAAAATGAAATTGAATACGAGATAAAAAACTTTGCAAACTGATGAAAAACTTTATATAGCTGGGAATTTTTTAAGGCTGCTGTATCACTATTTTAGCACATCCTCATTTGACAAACGTTGAAAGTTAGCATATTTTTACGAGGTGTTTAAGTAGGAATGATGTATGATTAAATAATATACAAGAAAATGAATTCTATAATGAATTTTGTTAGTTTTGAAAATTTAATCTCAATTCAAGTAGGCCTACAGAGATTTTCTAAATGACAATAACATTTCGAAAGTTACAAATAATTTTTTATGTGAAATCTGCAATGCATCTCTAGATAATTTGTTTTATACTTGCATACTTCACTTCTGCAAGAAATTTAAAGAGTAAGTGGCTTCTGACAAGTGGAATAACTCACCATTCTGATATCTACTTTGTTTCTGCCTTAAGTGCACAGGAATATCACCTTCTTTCACATTCAGCAGCTGAGTGTTTGTTACTTCACAATCTATTTGCATCATTGTGACATGGTTTGGAGGGGCTGCCATTGATTCTGCAAAACCAAAAACAATTCATTGTAATAAAAGAATCATTGTACATTTATGAACATTAATCCAGTATCATCAAATAAAACCCTTTTAAAAATTACTTATTAAAAATCATTTATTGGAATAAAGAGGAGGTAAAATTGACATATGGAATTTTTAAAATCTGAAATATTTCTTTACCTTTCAAACATTGACAACTGATTCACTTTAAGGCTTGGCAACTTCTTTGGCCATTTGTACCAGAGTCAAATTACTTTTTTCTTTTTCCATGAAACAATTAGGCAATAGAAATTATTTTTTTCTACAATTTAAACTTGAGAATCAAATTTGATTGTTTTATATACGGCACTAACACATAAATATTGCCCCCATTCGGGTGTTAATGGGAGTTTCATAATAATTCTCGTGATCTTGTGGATTCTTAGCCAGGAATAAGAGAAAATTAACAAAGTTTTTAAAAACCTCACTGCAAATATTTCAATTATTAACTCTCAACAGGTTTAGAATGATTAAAACACAATTTGAACAGAACAACAAAAATGTATACTAAATATTAAATGTAAAGCTTCATACTCATTCCAAACCAAAAGCAGTGGTAATACAATGGCTAATTCTTTCTTGTACTATTAGTAGTTATGTAATGTTATATTTCACCTATTCTCCATTTCAATACTTCAGCCATCACTCAAAAAACATATACAATACGACTCATACTATTACAAAAAATGATTAATATTTTGTTTATCTCAAGTATTAAAACAGCAAATAAAATTAGAAGTACTTCTAACACAATCTGCAGTGTGGCTACTGCAGTGTTACACGCTTTTGGCCCCCAACGATGTTCTCTAACTGCTCACTGATGCATTAAATTGTAAAATAATGTGGAGAGAGAGAGAGAAAAAGAAAAATACTGCGGAACTTTTGAAACAAAAAGTTAAAAATTAATGGCACTCGTGCCTTGAGAATTAATGCAATTAGTTTACATATCCCTTCCCCTTAATTTCACTAAATTTTATGTGGATATATTAATATTTTGAAACAAATTGTACATAACATGAATTAAGGATTTATAACTTAAAGAAAATCTTATTTCATTTAGAAAAGGAAAGAAGAAAAACAACAACGACCCTGCATTTTTATTAGTGTGCTTTGCTGTAACTATTCTAGCAAAAACCCTATAGAAAAAATATGGATAAATCATGTGGTTCACAGAAAATTGAGGATCAAATGTTGAGTCTGGAGTAGATACAGGAATTCTGAGTAAGATAAGGACTGTTTTACAGATATTTCAAAACTACTCTTTTAGAAAATGAAAAAGAACAGAAAAATTATTAAGACCAAGTTCTACAACAAGGTGGTAACGAATTCCACTCATCAGAAAGAAAACTGCAAGAAAAAGTGAACCTCCAAATAACAGAGGTACTGATCCTAGTGAAACGACAGAACATTCACAAATTATAATCTACTTTAAGGCAGTGAGTGTACTGTACACAACAAGCAAACCCTTTAATCTAACACCCTTTGTTTAAGAGAGAGAGAATGAAATTCTTGAAGACATCTTGTTTACAAATATCGAAACAGCTTAGATCTTATACAATCTAAATGCGAACTCTGTTGTAAGTCTTATCAGTTTTGCAGCAATTTAGCTAAAAAATTGCACAAGATTATTCAAACCTATTTTAAACGATCTGTATATAGTAAACGATTACTGGGACCAGCAAGTTATGGATTAGTGTGCAGGAGGCTGTAGACACTGGCAAAGATTAATATAAACTATTTATTGCAAGTAAACATTTATTTTACTGTCAGATAATTGTCCAGAATTTTTAAGAATTTATATTCATCATTTAAAAATGAAAATAATGTAAATTAAACAGCTAAAAGTATCGCAGGTTTGTGGTTATTGTTAAATATCTTAGATTTTTGTTAAATAATAAACATATTGTTATTATATTATATATTATTTATATGCTTAAGATATGATACTATACAACATAAATAAATACTTAAATCTATTTTGCCAAATAAAGAAAGGTAAATGAAAATTAGATGTTTTTCTACTGCGTGTGTGGGGGGGGGGAGGAGGGGGAGGGGGAGAGAAGCCACCCTTCTGGATCGGCCAGTGACAACAATCCATTCTCTTCCGATATCAGGTACCTCACGACTTGTACTTTTGTTTAAAATTCAACATTTTTTCTTCTTTACTAAGCAAATGAAGAAATAAAAATCATCCAGGGGGTTAGAGAAAAGAGCATACCTAATGGCAATTACAAATATATTTTTTATTTTTGCTCTCGCAATATGGTGTCACATGTGTTTGGTTAACAGTTCTTTCTATTTTTTGGTCAGTCTGTTATGAGTAAGTTACATATTTTGCATCAATAGCTAAAATGGTCCTTGGGGATTTTATTTTGGTTTTTTGAAATTTCTTTGACATTACATTTCTTTAACAAACGAAGTACTCAGTTTCTGTTAATTGTCTCTGAGATAATTTTTTACTAATTAATGTTATTGTTCTAGCTATCTTTGATAATGAAAGATTGCCCAAATCCATCACATCAAGTATCACATATTCTGATATACCTGCCAACCACACTGCAAGATGGGTTGCCTACCAAAGAGATGCAAATGCCACATGTGTAATGTTATTAAACGAGATTTCTCACTGCATGTTTATTGACAAAATGTTGATTTTCAATTCCCTTGATGGATGTCTAACATTCATTCAGAAACTTCTGCACATAAATAAATAGATAAAATTTAACATTTTGCTGTAAGCTAACAGGGCCAAAATAGTTGAGAGTCAACTTGTGTAAATTGTTGCTTTGCATGAGCAGGAGGTGTTTTGTAGAGACTTGAATATCATAGCTATAAAGCTTGCAAGTTTTAAACATTTTATCATGATAATATGGTGAAGATTTTACTTACCGTTGAAAGGAAGAGCTGGTAATAGAAGTGACATCTTAGGGCGCAAAGTTTTGTTATGAGCAAGAGCAGGCAACAACAAATGATCTACTGAAAAAGACACTACATAAAATGTATCATCACGGCGATGAATTGCCTCAAACAAGGCAGAATGACTGTATGCAGGTCTTCCCCATATTTCAACTTCATGTGCATCTTGTTTGCCAATGTCATTATGTACAGGTGTCACAGAATTTCCACTACTGCTACCAACCCATGGAGATGTTCTTAATTTTGACAAACTAAAAATAGAAGGTGAATTAACGCTTTTATTTGAAATTTAAAGTATTAGTGAAAATATAGTAATATACAAATTTTTCATTCACTTTTAATGAAGATTGTATTATTGTTTTAGAGGTTTAAAAACTTACTGTCTTTGTTTCTTCTTGGTTAGTTTTGTTTTTTCTTGCGGAATAGGTGCACTAGTTGTCACAGAATGAGTAACCTCATTACTTTCTTTTCTCTCTCCCTCCTTGGAATCTTGATTGCTATTATCTCTATCAGCTCCTATCCATCTCCTAAGTTCACTATCTAATCTACATACATAAAAGAAATTTTAAAAGATTATTTAAACACATAGACTTACTTATGACAATATAACATGAAAAACAATGTACTTCTATTTAAAAGAAAGGGTCAGTAAGTCAAATCACAAACTAGTGGTACTACTGAACTGCACAGACTTTCTCACACTAGTAAGTTCACTAATCTTTTGAGTCTAGGCAGCTTTCCAGCGTTGCTCCACTCTCTTCCCAGCCGCACCCCATGAATACCACCACAAAATTCTGCCAAATTTCCTCAATTTTTCAGTTTCCTAAGAGTAGTTAAATTACGAATTTAAGAATATTACAGAAGAGTAAAACAGAACAGTCTTATATGCAGAACAGTATAGCAGTATATGCAGAACATTATAAACAGAACAGTCTTATACAGAAGAGTCTTATATGCAAATTTTCATTGAAAAATTTGGAGTTGTTCATGAGGAAACGTTGTTTGAAGGTTTCTGAAAACTTCATCAGAAATTATTTGAAGTCCTTGTGTTCACAAATGCAATAATGTTAAGTAAAGACCGGAATGTATACATGAACAACATGAGAGATTTATAAAAAATTAAAGAATTGTATGTGTTTTTATGTCGAAAGAATAAATAAAAATGGCATCAATAACATTTTATTCAGTACATTTAGCACTATCTGAACAAAAAGTCTAAAGTGAAAAATTTGGAGAAATTTGGAAAATTTCTAATTTTGAGCTCTTTTCACAGCAAAATATTTAGTTTTTCAAAAACATTATAAGACATCAAATTAAGTACTTGTACTTGCAAATGATATAATGCATACAAATAGCTGGTAAGGTAAATATTGATGATACACGAGATAAAAAATATTCATTTGCGGGGGGGGGAGAAGAAAAAGAAGAAGAAGAAAAAAGAACCCTGCCCCCCGCAACGCAACGAGTATATATTCAGTGACTGTAGCACTAGCTGAAGTTCCAAGAAAAAACTAGGAGCATGTTTATAAAAATCTTGTTTTTAACTATAATGGCATCAGCTTGTCAAATGGTGCCAATAAAATGTGTCAAGATAATAACTAAGGTAAGAGTTCAATCAATTGTGGACATTCGCTTCTAAAAGAACAAATTGGCTTCAGGGTGGGCCAATCTTACACTTAATTGAGTATTCACCCTTGATTATTGACAAATGTCAGGGAAGGAACCTGGCAACACCTGTTCACAGACCCTTTGACAGGATAAAAAGACATACATTGTGAAAAAGGAAAGAAAAACAAAAACTAAGAGAGGTAATAGAAAATAAAACATTCTGCCATTGAGCATGGAACATAAGCATGTGTACTGTGTTTGGGCACATGCGTGTGGTGTGCTTTTTAAATTCAAAGAGAAAGAAGTATATTAAACTACAGGTGACTAGTGGCTACTATCATGCGTCATGTTTAATATTCATCATATAAAAGCGCTTCTTGTAGGATGGAAACGAGCTGCAACAGAAGAAACTTACTCGCACTATTCGTAATTTTCGCATTTTATTTTTAAAAGAGAGTTCAACAGAAATCTAAGTTCCAACCATTTTTCAAGAGTCCTTTATTCCATCTTAGCAAGACAATTAAAGAAAAAATTACGGAGCCGTTTTTGAAATAGTATTCGTGCAAAGAATATTCATAGGTAACTTCTGTTACACAATGGACAATAGAAAGCAGAAGTAATGAGGGCAATGGTCATTATGTACTGATTAGGCGAATGTGGAATAAAAACAAGTTTCTAGTGATAAACGATCAGAGACCTTAATTAATGTAATAAACTTTTAAATAGAAAGGAAATCTAACATTATGGTAGCAGAGGCTGTAATTTTGAATCTTAAAATGAATTGTTTAATTGAAAGAAAATACGAAACATTGAAAAGTAGTGTTGACTGAGCGGCCGCTACCCACGGCTGATTCCGTGTCACCACCGCATATCCCTACTCCCAAATGCAATCATTCACAATTTTTAATTATTGCGATTTTCGCAACTCTGCCCCTGGTAGATATCAGCTGTTTACATGCCATCCAATCGAGAGTTTTTACCGTGACGCTACAGTGACGTTCAACCTGCCGATTGGATGAAACCGTCAATAGATGATTCCTGCCAGGGGCAGAGAAGTATAAATCGCTGTACAGACAAGAGACATAATGAAAGGTACAATACAGTACGATTTATTGATACGTGCGTTTGAAGTAAATCAGCTGTTGATGGTTTCACCAAATCGGGAGCTTATATAACACTATAGTGCCGTCCAAGTCTAAATGTTCATTCGTACGACAAGCATATGCAGAGAAAAATCACTTTGACGGCTTCGCTTCGAACCGAGTGCATTGAACCCTCGCCAAGTGCTGTGCGCGAGAAGCGAGGTTTTGGCCGTCGCTGATGTGCTTCTATTATACCCCCCCTCTCAAAGCTTCGCCATCGCACTGAACTCCAGGGCGGGTGGGGGGCTTTCGAAAACACACACACACACGCACACACGCGCGCGCACACGCGCGCACGCACACACGCACGCACACGCGCACACGCACGCACACACGCACGCACGCGCACACACGCACACACACGCACGCGCATGGTTGTCAACAGTTCCGATCTAGACGTAGGTTATCAGCACTGACAAGGAACTCTTACGCGACTTGGAATAGTTCTTTGAAGCCAGATTTTTCACGTGTATTTTATGTTCTGTGTGTATGCTGTTGCGAGAGTACAGAGTTTTTTCTAGAAACTGCCTTGTACAGTACAACATGAACCTCCCCAAAAGAAAATCATAGTTTCGAAACTGTAACGCGATAATTAGAATCCAATCATTTTCGTGCGAGAAGATGAGTCATGGCGACCACATGGTTTGCAGATGTGGACGAGTTACACGATGCAGGAAACGGTGAGTGAAGTCCTATGAAAAGTTTTAAAAACGTCTCAAGTACGCTAGAAGATAACGGGAAATTGACCTCTAATTAAAGAATTGGGTATATTGTTTATGTTCCAACGTACTTTTGTGCATTGTTTTATTATGTCAGGGCAAGCAATGCAAAATAAGCAATTCTTAAAGAAGGTACAGTGAGTACATCGTAATGTGGAATTCATAAACATACAGTACGATGTCTATTAGATACCTTAGTCTAACTTGTTTAATTCGTAAAATTGAACGCACCCTCCTGTTCACTGAGCAGGAGACGCCCCTGGAAAGTAGGATTGATGATGGCGGAAGAGGCAACTGGAACGAAACCCCAGCATCTGATCGAAGAGGGAAGGATCATGAACCTCTTGACTTCCTGTTATCGGCCCATGGATGTTATAGGAGAGAAACTCGGTTGGTATACCCGGTCACTGATTAGAGTGGAGGCCAGAACCTTGCATTAGTCAGCGAGCGTACCAGGCTGCCTGGAGCAGACACTGACAATCCCGCAGGGTGTGGGCATGCTGACTGGCGATCGGAGGGGCCCCTTGTTGGGCTCTACGGGGGATGTCCCGAGTGCACTGCGGGTCGCAGCAACGGATCACAGGAATAACCCATGGGTTAAGAGTGATCTGTGAACGCGAACTTGGTTCCTGCGAAACCCCTCTAATAACCAATGAGCAAAATGGGCAGAACAAGAAATGTATGAATCTTAACGTGCCTTGTTCTACCAATGTCCAATACCTGCTCAGACACCGAGCTGTCACCTTGACATTGGACATCCACGGATGGGAGCCAGGTATCCAGAGGCGGCAGCATGTCGAAGCCATCATCAGAGATGGAAACTGGATGACTTGGATGTGATGTACTTTTACTACGCAAAAGCGAAAAATGGGGGCTCGGAAATACAAGTTTTCAAGATGTGGAGAGAGAGCGAAACCGTAGATTCAAAGAAGCTTGCCAGTCAAGGACAATACATTCTCAGCAATGGAAAATTCACAACAGAACAACTTTCAGGGAAATATGGAGTATGTTCTTCGATCGAACTACCCCCATGACGAACATGTAGAACTTGAAAACGATGGTCCTGTTGAAGGTTCATCTCTTTCCAAAGAAACAATCTTCGGAGGTGAAAATTCTTCTGACAATGAATCACACGATAAGGACATGATGCGAAACTCCTTCGACGCGAGATAGAAAGATTTCGTCAACTTGCATTCGAATCTCGTGCACCGTTGAGGAGAATATACGAAAATGCCAAAGCTAAGAGAGTGATGGAGACGGCGAACCGTCTTAAAGTGATAAAGACCCCGGGAACAAATTTAGATATGACTCAAATCGACCACATCGTGCATGCAACTACATCTCTGGTATCTCGTATAACTTGGGACCAGCAAAGAACATCGACGGCTGCCAGCCAATCAGAGTAAACAGCCCCGTATCCCGATGGACGAAAATAATAATGACACGGATAATTGACACTCGGCGAGAACTATCACTGGGGCATTTTCCAAGTCAACGCACACCTCTAAAGTTCAAAGAGAAATATTCCGTGTTGAACAAAAGTACCAAATTGAAAATGACAAGTAGGCTAATGGTAGTAGAAATAAAAAGATAAAATCCAAGCGTGGGCCCATTGTATTAGACGATACAAACGTAGAGTAGATTTACGTGAGCTGGATCGGTGGTTTGACACAGACGCGAAGAAATTCTATCGCAATGATTAATGATTCAAAAACAGAATGGCAATGATGTCACCACTTCAAAGGATTAGGTCGAAGCATTTTGGGCAGAACTGTGGTACGAAGAAGACCCTACAACAAAGACCCACCTTCACTTCGATCTGAAGATGCCGATGAACTTGTTGAAGCAGAGGCGAAACTTTGGAGAAGAACTATAGGCCAATCACTTGCCAGTGTGCCAGGAATGTACAAAGGTTAACTGCAGCCATAGCTGACAAAATGTACAGACATAGGAAGAAACATCTATTGCCAGTTGTACAATGAGGATATCGTAAAGGTTCCTATGGTTGTAAGGAAATCTTCCTACTAAATAAAGTCATCTTGAATAATGCAAAGAAACGAAAACTTAATTGAAGCATGGCTTGAATTGACTATCAGAAAGCTTTAACCACACGATTGAATTTTGAAGACGCTGGAGATCTATGGATGTCATCTTAGACTTAATAGTTTTCCAAGGCTAGTATTAAGTCTTTGCGTACCAGGCTACTAATATACAGCGGAAAAGAAGAAGTAGAAACAAGATGTATTCACATTAACACGGGTATTTTTCAAGGAGATTCGCTATCCCTTATAATGTTTTGCATTAGTTTGATTCCCCTTTGTAGACAGTTGTCGTAAAAGCTCAATGGTGATGAAAGACCAGTATTACATTCGTTTTACGCGGATGATATTAAAGTCTTTGCTAAGAATGAAGCGATTCTCTCTCAAATACTGTCGCTAACGAGTTTAGCAATGTCATCTGCCTGAAATTCGGTCTTGACAAGTGTGCAGAAATCAATTTAAAGAGGGACAAAATGACGTCAGGGCGCACTGAAGGTCATATGCACACTGTGATTCAAGATCTTAGGCAGCTAAAGCTTACAAATATCTGGGCATTGAACAATGTGAGAACATCTCTAATGACACAATGAAAGAGAATTCGCAGGTAGTATAACAGAAGAGTGAGACTTGTTCTGCAGTCCGCTCTAAGCTCCAGGAATAAAATATCTGCAATTGGTAATTTGTTTGTGCATATGCTCGAGTACAGTTTCGGACTAGTGGCCTGCAAGGCATTCGAACCAGGAATCGAAAACTGCTCACTTTGGCATGTCGCCCGCACCAGAGCTTCTGCACGGCTGACTTCATGTGCCACATAAGGAAAGAGGAAGATGCCTCGAACGAAGCCTCCTAGCACAAAGCAATACTAGGGATGGGAGAGCATGTAGTCAGCCATCAAGTTGACCCACTAATGAACAAAGTCATTAAATCTGACCAATGAGAAACATTGTTAGTGTAGCAACAAGCACTGCGAAGAAAACCGGCAAAACACGAAGAATAACATAGATACTGAACTTCCGATGCTACGAAATATGAGAAACAAAAAATATTAAAAAAATCGTGAAGACAAACCACTCCATGGAAAATAATTAAAAAGAACGGACAAGATGCAGATCAACGAAGATCAATCATTTATGTGGCTTAAAAGGGGAAGAATGAAGCCGGAATCGGAAGCAATTCTAATAGCTGTTCAAGATCAGGCGTGAGTACACACATTATGATAAAGAATATTATAATTGCCACATTTGCCAGGAGCAAGTAGAAGCCATCGTCTCATCTTGTCCAATTCTAGCAGGCCGAATACTTCAAAAGAGACGACAGGACGACCTCCACTGGCAAATCTGTATCGCCTTCGAAGTTCCGAACTCGTGTCCCAAATGGTACGAATACTCACCAACACCTGTGCTTCTATTGGAGTACAATACTGTGCCATCAACAAATTCAAATGAATAGAACGATAGCGACAAAAAATGGAATATAGTTATCAGAGTTTTGGAGAAAAATCGTGTCTACTTTAAAATGTTGCTGTGCCTGGCGATCAAAACATCGTAATCAAAAAAGAAGAGAATCGTCTTTAACACAAGAGTTTTGAAATGGAGATCACCTGAATGAGGGACGATAATCAACGCAGCGCTGGAATTTGTTCCGCAAACTTTGTGTAAGAATTTGACTCAACTCCCAGGTCATTCAAAAGACTGGGAAGTGCAAGACATTGCGTCATTTGGAACAGCCCATATTTTGCGCAAAGTATTGTAGAGTCATCAACAGTCAATAGATCTGCTCTTTAGATAGCTGGTTGCAACCTAGAGTAGATTTTATATTCAGAAGATTCGTAACATCTTTAGTCGGGATGTAGATTATTATTATCATTATTAACTGAGCGAGGTGGCTCAGTGCGCAGTGCGCTGACTTGGCAGTCGGGAGGTCCGGGTTCGATCCTCGGGCCGGCCATTCTAAGCGGGGCCTTCGAGGTTTCCCCTCTGCCTTAGAGGCGAATGCTGGGATGGTTCAAAATGCCCACGATCACCTTGTAATCTAGATTTCAAGGCTTAACAACCCCAAGGGACTCAGCCGAAAAGCTGATCCGTACGAGTGATGACACATCTCCCTCCGATAAAGAATTCGATTGGTCTCTGAAGAGAACGTAATGGGCGGTCAGGAATGGACCACACGTAAATAATAATTGAAAAGTAATCGTTTCAAAATCGCCTGCACAAGAAAAAATACGCGAATACTACTACTGCTTTCGAAAATTGTACGTGAATTTACGCATAGATAACTTTCAAGAACATTCTTAATAAGGAGATCTCTTTCTTCATTATTGTAGTTGTAGGTAGAAATATTAAATTTTGCAATTTTTGAAAGTTTACATATTTCAACAAAAATGAGAACCGCGCCCGTGTTTAAGCGCGCTTTGCGCCATCCGACGAAACATTTTAATTATAAGGTGAAAATAATTTAAGGTTTCACGTTCAGTAGCGCCAAAACTCTAAATATGTAGAAGTCAAGTAAATTTCAAATCCGCAAGGCCTAAATGTTCGGCCAGATCGAGCGTGGAATATCCATTCTGGATAAAATGACCAGGCGGACTTTAGGCGGTAGCGTTGACCCTGGTAGGACGGAGGTCAGAAAGACGGACAAACGGACAAACAAAATGATGGGCAAACGGTCGGACAGTCAGACCCTGACGGTATTACCGGCAACTAATTTTTCGGTATCCAGGACTAAAAAATGTAGATTTTGACTACATAGCGCGTTGGAGGAAACAGTCCACTTTGTCTGAATCAGAGACTCACAAAACAGGTTTTCTGACAAAAGAATTGCGAGTTTACTGCAATTCTGCGAGCTGGAGCATTACAATACTTACTCGTAACTACATTAGTAGTAAAGCGGGAAGGTACCGACTTAAAACTTTACAAACCTCGCATATTTTTTTCTATTCAAGTAAGTCTGTGTGTGGCAGGATTGTGTGTTCTATTCGTAGATACTAGTAATAGTTTCGAACTTGCTATTTTCTACTAACATTTTCTTAAGACGGCAATTATCGTTCAGGTTTTATTCTGACTAGCAATTGTGATGTGAAAAGATATTAAGTGAAAACAAATTACTCAAAATGTGATTTTATTGCTATTTCAAGTGACCCTTTCTTGTAAACGAATGAATTAACTTTCCTGAAATATATGAATAGAAATGTTCAATACCTTACTTACCCACCAAATATATGAGATTCATGAGTAATATTAACATCATAATTACCTAATTGACTCAGTCTGGTTTATGTACATGGGACAAGTTGAATGTGATGATGAATTTACTCCAAAGGCAACTTCTACCCCAGATGGAAGTTCAGGAGCTGTTGCCCAAAGTAAAGTTCGCCCACTTCGTGAACCAGAAGTTTGTGAAAAAACTGATGGATTACTCAGGGGAACAGAATTTCCTGTGCCTCTGGGCAGGAATCCACTGCATAAGCATACAGACAATGCGCATTGAACTCAAAGAACCGAATTTTCTGTATTCTTTACAATACTCTTTCTTATAGTTACATACCCCAGAGATGTGAGATTTAAAGAAACCATAAATAGAACCATAAGCAATGCTGTGGCTTTTTTTGCACTGGAAACTAAAGCAGTTGTTGAACCTTTCCAGTTAATGTTTTCTTCGTACAGTGCTAAGCGTTCTTTCAGAGCTGAATTTTCCTGGAGGAAAAACAACAATGCAAACATAAAATACACAAAAGTCACAATTAAAACATAATTTAAAAAGAAAAATTAATACATTTGTTTCCTAAAGAAAAAACAATTTCACATGTATCAATATATTTATGACATTAAGGGGACTTTAATGGTCAAACTAATTAGGCCAAAAATTTCGTTTTCGAGTTTTGCATGATTGTGAATGGGTAGAGCCTGATCTTGCAGAACGTTTTTCGATTTTCGGCGAAATCGAAGAAGTGGATTAAATATTATTAAATATTATTCAACCCCATCGTGCGCCGACCTCTGCGCGCGCCAGTTTCTCGAAGGCGCTTTCGAGGTAAATTCTTTCTTCGTCATCGAGGAAAGTTTAATTTTGTTGAGGTTGGTAGCTCGGTTCTGAGCAGTGAGATCGCGGAGACGAAGACTTGTTTCGAATAAGGGCAAACGTGTTCTGTAGTAGTTTGTGATCGGTTTTTTTGTGGTTTGTGTACTTTAGATTGTTGCGTGGGCGATGACGACAGCCAAAATGAATATTTGAAAAAAGAAAAGGTGGGCGAGGAAGGAAGAATAAGCCTCTGGTTATCTCAGTTAACAACGAAAACATTCTAAATGAAGAATTTGTAAGGTTGTGAGAAACACCGCGCGGTACAACGCCTAGCTCCAGTGGGAGTGCATCGAGAAGGACATTTTTCAGGAGTGGTGATTCATACATTCATTGCTTACTGATACTGCAAATGTAAATATGGAGTGAGAAAGAATACCAGGATGTAATCCAGAGTTCACAGGACTTGAAAAAAGGAAAGAAAAAAAGAGCACACTATAATGCATTGAAGTACTGTAAAATCTTTGACAGCCATTTCCCGTAACTTGACTTTAATAATTTATGAGAAAATGGGACATAAAATTTAAAGTTAGAGACATGCAATTTTTACCTGACAATATATGACTATTTCAGTGCTGATTGACATTTTTAAAGAAATATACCATTATTATTTGCAATGTTCTTCATAAATTATTTTTTCAAAATGTATAGAATTTTTTAAATATTGAAAATAATAAAAAAATACTTCTATTCAATAAAACATCAAATTATGTAGCTCTCTGCAAAGAATAACTGCAAAATTCCATTTTTGTACTACTTGTAGTCATTAATTTAACATAGAGAAGTTAAGTCTTACTATGTTCCCTTAAGGGGAAAACAAAAATAAGTCTTTGAAGAACATTGCTAAAGCACAAAAAACACAAGAAAACAATCTAATGTTGCATGCAGAGTAGAAGCTGTAATAAAAGAAGCCGTAAGAACGAAAATGTGGATCAAGAATGGAGTGACAGAAGAAAATAACAGAAAAGTAATTTAACAGGGAAATCATTTTGGGTACTTGAGCAAAGCAAAAGTAAGCAGGAAAAAGGTACTCGAAAGCGGAAGGCAAGGATAATATAGGTTACGGTAAAGAGGGAGTGAACATTTGAGTAACTGAAAACATAAAGAGGCATAGCTCGGAACACGAAAAAAATAATTTTTAAAGCACACATACCAACTTTAATTGAACATTTTCCTGCTGCAAATCTGTTATTTGCATTTCAAGTGATGTAACGTATTCTTTCTTTTTCTTGCGTGATAAACATGCCGATTCCCGGTTTTTTATCATACGTTGTTGCCGCTTCATTGCTTTCATCTACAGAAAGAAAATTAATTTTAAAAGAATGTTGAATTTGAAAATGTTACAAACCTTACCTTACAAATTAGAGAATCTTACAAATCTAAGCATATTACTTCAAATATTTTCCATGATTACCTCCAATTCTTGTCTTCCTGGAATAGATTTTAGATTACACTGATTAACAAACGTGATCTTTGACAGTTCTCGCTTAATAGTTGCATTTGCGGTCAAGTGGGCTTGAGGTGGTGTTTGACACAACGTGGCAGGGGAAGAACCTGAACCATTTATGTTCACACAAGATTTAGTTTGTTGCGTAAGAGATGCAAATTTTTGAGGTGTTATGACAAATGTTCTTGTATCTGTAATACAAAATACAATTTATGTTTTAACAAATGCAAACTTTATACCATAAGGTTTACTATGAAGAGAAAATTAAGAAGTGGAATTTTGCAAGTATTATATTCACCTGAAGTGGAATTTTCACTTTTCTTTGGTAATGCAGTACTTGGTAACTGAGAGCTTTGTGTTACTTCTGGCTTTGGTTGTATTTTTATTCGTTTTGCCCCATTTGATGCCTGCTTTATCAGTACTTTGGAACCATTATTGCCCTTCAAGGATGCAGTGTTTGGAGCATAAGGGACAATTTTTATAGGAGATACCACAATGACAGGCTCTACTACAGAGGAGGGAGTACTGGCACCCGAATTAGCAGCAATAACTGTGCCTGCAATGCTAATTCCACTTCCAAGATGAGAGTCTGGAGAATTTGGAGGGCTAAGACTGTCCTTCTCCTGAGGAGGTGTGATGGGTGGAGTTTCCAACACAAACTGGAAAAAAAATTAATGGTCATTTTGATTTAAATGCAATATTTAATTTCTAATATTTGAAAATATTACCTTTGAATCGGAGAGTGCAACATCTTGCCAACCATCACTACTTGATGAATCAGGCGACGGAGGTAAAAATAAAAGAGGAGACGATGGTTCCAATTTTATTTCTTCTTTTATAGTACAATCTACACAAACAAAAATATAAAATAAAAACAGAACAGTGCCCAAACATTGCACAGTAATACTTGGCAGGGCAGTGTTGTTACCCGCGTCTTCCGAGAAGTCCGGGGGGGAGTGGGGCCACGGGAGGGAGTCCATGTCCACGTCCAAGGCGCCCAAGGGAAACTCGTCCAGGGCTTCGTCCGGCAGCGCAGAATCCCCCAGCAAGGGCCCAGCGTCGTGCCCCTCGTCTCCCAGCAAGGGCATCTCGTTCAAAAACAGTTCAAAAATATTAAATCATGCAACTCGCGGTTGGATTTGAAGAGCTTCTGGGTCCAATGGACTTATCTCACCTTTCTAGGGTGGTAACACACCTAATGAAAACGGAATTGTCACTGAATTTCTTTATTAACTGGGAAAAATCAGCGATATATATTTCCAAGGAAAAATCAATTCAAAATGGTTAAATTACAAAATTGTCATAATTGTAAAAAGGTAAAAAATTGTAAAAACTTCACTTGTACGTTTTTCGGGGGACTGAAAAGAAAAAAAGTGAGAAAACGCTAACTGAAATGTAATATTACTAGCGTACCCGTGAGAGAAGTCTCGCATGTTAACCCACGCCCTTTCCCTACCATTCCATTCAGATGGAAAGTTGTTACTGAAATGTGTTTATTTGTTAAAAATGTATAAATGTAACGTCGTACTTACAGAATATAAAAAACGGTAAAAAACAATGCAATTGATTTTGCAAACAAATGTTCAAGAAATGTTTATTCACTATTACAGAGAGATGTTCTTCAATCAACATACACTTCCTTAAAAACATTTGAGGTAGTTATTCAAACTTCTTTGACAGTTTTTCGCTTTCGTTGATATTCACAAAAATATTAGAAAATGTTTTTACTGTTGCGAAAGCCATGTAAAGTTTTTCACGTGAAAATAAAGGATCGGGCGAATTCTACCCTTCTCTTTACAATATTATTTAACTTTCCTGGATTTGTTATGAGGAACAGAGAGGTTTTGGAGGGGCAGGGCGCCAGATTGCTGTGGTGCGAAAATTGAAAAATTATTTATGTATTAAGAAGTATTGAATTATTTTCTGCGTTCTCGCGTACCTCACGAAAATTCCGAGCCAAAAAATAAAACTCATATTTTCACCTTTGAGTAATAAATAGTACTTATTACCATTAGAAACAATTCAGTAAGCAAAGATTTCACTTTGGTACATTGAAATGTTGCTCAAACGATGTTTACGTATTGAATATCTTAGCGAACACACACCTTAAGTTTAATATGAAACCATGTATTATTTACGATATGAGTTTAGAGCTGGACATTGATGTACAGTCTTTCCGATTTTGCCAACATTTAAATCGTGGTTTGAATTGTGATCGTTTGCAGTCTTCGGGTGACTTGCGCTATTTTTTTCTATAATTTTAAATTTGGTGTTTTTTAAATTAATTTACGTAGGATTGTAGGCTAGCGCGTTCTGATTTTTGTTGTTCATTTATTGAAAACAATGTAGCTGAAATATATTTCACTTAAAAATAAATTAATAATAAATGATAATAGATAAGGGGAACTTTTGTTGCAAACAAGGGGCTCCCATGGATCTGTCCCAAGTCCCATGTTTTCTCTCGGCGCTCCTAGTGTTAACAATTTTTGCGCATGTGAAACAGTTCTGTGGTTGTCTCAAGCTATTGTAATGGTTTGTGCATCGAAATCATAAGGCGGAAGGGTTCAGAAATTTCAAATCCACGTCACCTGCCCTCCGGGACCACATACGAACGCAAGCCCGCTCCAGCACAATATTTTTAAAATATGTGACACACTGTCCGGCGTAAAACAAGAAGGCTAACTACATTTCAGGGCCTCTTTCCAGTAAAAAGGGGGGGGGGAAATGAGACATTGAATATATTTATGGAAATAAAATGTTTTATTATAAGAGGTTAGGGGTCACCACAATAGTTTCAAAGAGGCAACTCTTTCCATGTACCTATGGCTATATGCATTTATACAAGTTGCTACTTACTTCCAGCTGTGATGATAAATGGCGTAGAAGATCATCTTCTCCCGTTATTGAGCAGTCAACATCTAAAAAATAGAAATAATAATTTAACTAGTGGTGCTAAAACAGCACGAACTTTCTCGCCATTAGTAATGCTTGTTAAATACTATTTACGCAACAATTTCTCTCAGAATTATTTATTGTAAAACTTATTGGAAATCCTTTAAGGAACAGATTTTATTAAAGGGAAAAAACATCCATCTTTAATACTTTAATTGTAGGAAAAAATGATGAAATTAAAAAATGAATTTTTGCAAGTTTTGAAATATCAGAGATTACGTCCTTCAGACTATCCAACAACAAAATTAATAGCGTCATTCTTTTTGAAAATGTCGCAGGGGCGTCACGTAAAGTACCCCCAAAATTAAAATATAGATTTGAAATTTAAAGGGCTTACGAAGCTAAAATTTAAAGCGAAAACGATTAGGGAATATCAATTTTGAAGAAAATCGACTGAACGGTTTAGACGCCAGTTTTTACCGTCAATCGATATATCGCTATCAAGGACCCACAAAAAGCGATCTGGCTGCACCACGTGTTAGAGAGTTTTTTCTACACTTATAAACTTGATTTATCCACTTTTTTGTTACCAGGGTCCTGTAATAAAGAGTTTGTCGAAAATTCGCAGTTTTTTCGCGCAGCATTACATCACTTTCTCTTCCTAAGCGCGAGAAAGTAAAAAACGAGGGTAACAAATGACAAGCAAACATTTATACACACATTTATTGCGATGAACTCAAGTTCAGTCTCGTGCCAGAGAAAAAAATAACATACGGAACCTAGAACAGGCTGACGTTGCCGCGCGAGCAGTGACAAGTTCTTTGTCAGGCGAGAGCACCGCGCTAACCACCCACGAAAATAGAACAAAGAATCGTCTTACACCTCCATTGGCTAATCCCAAGGAAGCGATGGATTCCGGCTGCACCACGTGTTAAAGAGGATTATCTCTCTCTACATTTAGCAACTGGATTTAGCCACTTTTTCATTACCAAGCCCTATAAGAAGAGTTTTTTCGCTCAGCATTCCATAACCTCTCTAGCGTGGTAGCGGCGGCGAGAAAGAAAAAATACGATATTAAGATTCTGGGCACACTTTGATAACAGTGTACTTAACAATTAACGAAAACAAGTCCCCACAACAGCACATACTTTCTCGCCTTATTGGAAATAGCAACGTAATATTAAAAAATTGCATTTTCCGCGCCACTGACATCTTAGCTGTTTTTGAAAAGGTCCAATTCAACCAATTCAAAGCGCTTATGACGTGTATCTGCATTCATTTCGATAGTCAGGTGTAGCAATCAGTTCTCATTTTGACGAATGAAGCAAAAAGGTATACATTTGAATGTAAGTTACTTACGGTAGCGAACAAATTAATCCCATCACTATCCTTTAGAACATTATATTTTCACACCGGAAAACATACCAAACGTTAACTTTTCTTGTACTTAATCATTTATATTTCATCATTCACCCCAACAATGAAGATAGCGCAACGAGTCGTTGGAATTTAATGACAAGACAGATGCGACCAGAGGAGTCTTACCAAATAATGGAAATATTACGACAATTCTCGGTGCGGATTAATTTGCTCTTTCCTGCAATTTCCTTTTATGTTGGTTTTTTATATTTTTATTTAAAATATTTATAATTATTAGACATTGGAACTTCACGCACTGAAACAGTTAAAAATATTCATGCAACCATACTCTTAAAATAGCCCATATATGCACTAAAGACTAATAATATGTGTGAAACCATGATGGTTTTAGCAACAGTTAACATTTATTCACAAGTAATCGTTTTACACTGTAGGACAAAACAGTTCTTGCGCACGAATAAAGTTATATGAAGTAAATCGATTCAAGCGAAGACAATCATAAAACTTTCGGAAATATTATGTTGGTATTGTAGCATTGGCATGATTTAATTCACTTTTCTTTTGAAAGGGAAATGTGCTTTAAATAATTTCTAAAATATTAATGTGTAAATTTATAACAAAAGATCGAATGTTTGAAACGAACAAAGAAATATGAAGTAATATACAATTTCTAACGCAATAAATTCGCAGCGGCCATTTTATTTTCTCGTTAAATTACACAAAAAATACTAATTTTGAAAAGATCGTATACCTTATTTGAAGATTTTTGATAAACATATTTCACGAAGAAGAAAAATGCAAACATGTTCGTAAAATAGCAAATGTATGTGCTTAAAACTAAGAATATACGTTAAATAAACATGTACTTAGCAACAATTCACACTTATTTTTAGGAAATCTTCATTTTACACTAGTATAAAACAGTTCCTGGGCACGAATAACGTTATATCGATTCTTGCGAAAAACAATCTTATCCGAAGACTACAGGAAATATTACGTTGTTATTGTAGCATTGGAATGGTTTAATTCACTTTTGTTTTGAGAGAAATACACTAAAATATCTGACTTCGACTATCGCCATTGAACTCTACACAAAATCACAAACATGTGCTATCACGCATGCGGACTCTTCAAAGAAAGTCATGTACAATTTCTTGGCATTAATTTTGTTGAAAACTGTCATTTACAAATTAAAAAATAGTAATATTCCGCAATTTCTGCTTGAAATTAATGAGATATATACAGGTTTCTCACCAACTACAGACCACCTTCCACTTATGGCAAAAATGTGTCCCGTATTTACCAGCCAGGAGACGCCACTGTATTATACTAAACTATACTTCGTATACTATCCGCACAAACTACACTGTTATTGAAGTTTTCACGAAGACTGCTTTTGTTAAAACATGTAATTATTTGTAGTAATATACGAGATTTTATTTCTTGTTCATGAGCAGTGAACATGCTACTTTTTGGAAAACCATTGTGTGTTTTTATTCAGCAGACTTTTTTGCTGCTACTGCTGCTGCTGGCCACTGGTTTTTACTATTTCGCTAAACATCGTACACACGTAGTGGAGGGTAAATGATGTATTCCCCGACATCAAAAGGTGGATACATCGTACACACGTAGTGGAGGGTAAATGATGTATTCCCCGACATCAAAAGGTGGATACATCTTGTCCCTCTCGAATAAGATATAATTTCCCCAAAGACGTTATAAGACGTCAGAACCCACGTTTTGGGGATCTTTGATGCGGACAAATCGATAGTCGGCCAAACGTCCGTCCGTGGCCAAGGCGAGCACCTAAACACTTCAGACGAGTTTCACCGATCCATTGGCTGAACACGAAACCCTGCGCGTTGGAAACTGATATTTTAATTTTGCAGCATTTTACAAGATTCCTCAACATTTTCAATATTTGCTCAAAAATGGGTCCAAAGACTTACATTTAACGTTTTCGGATAGAGCTAACGATACTTAAAAAATGGCGCAGTCCTCATTTTTGAGAAACACTCAATTTTCGAAAATTACAGAAGTACAATCTTTCGGCGTTTTCCAAGAACCATAATTATGAAATTAGAGATATTTTCTAAGGGAAATCTCTTGTTCAATGACTGATGTTTAATGATGTTTAAAGTCATAACCACTTTTATGAAATATCTAGTGGTTTTCGCACAATGTTTACTTGAAGTAAAGGCAGTTTATAAAAATGTTTTCTAAAATATTCCAAGTTTTTACTCAGTTAGAGCAATGGCCACATAAAAATGCCGCAAGTCTCCTTTTCTTTGAATACTCTACATTTTTTGATATTAGTAAAGTTACAAATAATGCGAAAATATACGTGCTGTTGTAGCGCCATTAATTTCAATTAAGTTAAAACAACGACGTAACAATAAAGCCCCTCGAGGTCGCTCGGGAGGTGGGCCCCCTTGTATTGGTAAATCGAGTGCTTCCTGTA